CTTTGAACTTATATTTCCACTATACTTTTCTCAAAGAATTAAAGTTTCATGTAATATTTTTGAAAGCATTTTATTGATCACCCTGTTATATTTCTTTGCAACAAAAAATATACAAATTTAAATTACTTTTTAATTACCTATGACCCTACAGGTTTAGTATTACAAATTTCTTTGTGGTTGGGTGATCATTACAAGTATTATTAATGCACACTTGTCAAAGACAACAAAATGTATCATATACTTAATATGTAATTATTTAATAAGTAATTATTAACCTAAAAAGGAAAAATTTATTGCAGATTTATGTCTCTTACATGGATGAGTTTTTTTTTTTTTTCAATTAGCTCCCAAATATCGTTGGACAGATTAAATATTTCTAGATGTTTCTAGACTTGGATGATTGTTCATGAACTTCCTTCCCACCCTCATTCTCTGGATGTCCATGTTGAGAAAAGTGCTTGCCCTAAAGAGCAGGTGAGAGATGGAGTTTCCTAGAGAGGTATCATTAATTTTTTTTATTACTGACTTATATACCTTGGGTCACACAGCAATCTATCATCAGAAAGATTTTTTGAATGATCTACCAACTGACAAGCAGGTTAAGAATTTTAATTTTATTGATAGTAGAAAATTAGGTCATCTCATATCCAAAAAAGTATATTACCCAGGCATTAAACTCATTTTTGTCAGCACCAATAGTAATATGTCAAATGGTTCCTTTTCTGTTCCCTGGATGCCTAGTATCATGCAAAGATTCTGTACAGCAAGATTTGGAGTGGTAAGGAAAGCTGTTTCCTTCTGTGAATAAGGAGTTGCTATTGTTTGGATGTTCAGTGTCCCCCAAGGACTGTGCATTAAAGGATTAGTTCCCAGGGTAGCAATCTGAGGAGAGAGGGGAATACTGGGGGGATAGAGCTTTATAGGAAGTCCTCAGGTTTCTGTGGGGTATGCTTTTCAAGGGGATCGTAGGACGCTGAGCCCTTCCTTCTATTTGGCTTCCTGGTCAAGAGTAGTTTGTTCCACCACATGCTCCCCAACATTGCTCTTTGGCACCCCCACCTGAAGCCTGAGAACAATGGGTCTTCCCGATCACAAGCTGGAATTCCGAAAACCGTAAGCAAAAAAACCTTTTTCTCTTTATAAGTTAATTATATCAGGCATTTTATTATAGTAACAGAACACTAACAGTGATTTAGAAAACGAAGGTATTATTCAGATGCAGATTATTCTCAGGAAGATAGACTTTAAGCAAATATACATGAAAAAGTTGTGAAATTTAAATTTTTTTCTCCTTAGCATTACCCATGCCCATGTATCTCCCTGAGAATTTTTGTATCCCCTTAGGTGTATGTATACCTGTTTTTGGATATGCTGGGCTGTATTGTTTCACTTACAAGAGTCCTTGAGTCATTGAAAAAGACAAAGGAAAACAGTGGTGGGGTGGGGAGGTTGAAATTGGAGAGAGAGGAGCAAGGAGAGAGAGGAGAGAGGAGGGAGGGGGAGGGAGGGGAAGGGAGAGGAGGGGAGGCAAGGGCAGGGGAGAGGAGAGAGGTCATCTTCAAACCAACCAGTTTGAGGAGTGGAGAGGAGGGGAAAGAGATAATCTAACTGGTTTGATCATCAACCAGTTTGATGCCTAGGTTGTCTTAAAATGAGGACATTTCAAAACAGCACAAATCATGCTGTCTAATGAGCTGCCCAACAGGAAATGAGTTAGTAAACTCCAACAGGTCTCGACACTCTCCCGATTGTGCTTTCATCTTTATTTCAAGGTGGTTTCTGCCAGGTCCAATTCAGGACACCAGAGACAGGCCGCATTCTGCTTCTGTGGTAGAGCCCAGAGATTTGGATGAAAAGAACAAAACGAACATTATTTCAAAAGAAAGTACTTACAATGAGTGGGCCCCGGTTGTTTTCCCGGTACTTGTTCTGGAAGAATATGTAAACGACGGTGGCAGCCAAAGAGTAGAGGAAGGCGAAGACAGCGACGGTGACGAAGAACTCAGCAGAGGACGAGGAGTCTCCGATCAGCGCCAGCTTCTGCCTTCCCTTCCCCTCACAGGTGGGCACCTCGAAGGTCACCTGGTGCAACCTAAACCAGAGGCAAGAAGACACGTTAAGTGCTGTGGGAGAGACCGGGATGCTCTGCTACGTCTTCAAAGCAAAGCAGACCAGTGTGGAGGACCCCTTCTGGAAAGTCACTGAGAAAGCCACACACTTCTAGCAGGCCACGCGGACATATGTATGCAGTGGACACAATGAGTCAAGGAGAGGAGAGAAGGGGAAGGAGAACTGGAAAGGACAGCTTCCTGCTGAGCCTCTCCTGGGCTGGGCCCTGGCTCTGCTTCCAGCCTCTTTCCTCATGGCTCGGTCTTCCTCTCCAACCACATGGCCTGCTTGCCCAGGCTGTTATGCCAAGTACGGACTGTCTGGCTGCCTCAGTGTCTTCCACTGACTACCCCGCCTGTTGCACTTTCCCTGGCTGTCTCCCTGGCCTCCTAATAGCAGCTCCAGCCCTCCTTTGAGACCTTCTGCTGCCCACACAAGTAGACATTTGGACATTTTAAATCTCATTGGCTCCATGTCACTTGTGTTTGCTACCAGGCAAAACTGCCTGGATGACAGTGCTTGCCTACTGATTTTTATTTTCCTGTCTCTGTTGCTTCCTCAGCAGTGAAGTAGCCCATCTCTGTGAGTAAATGAAGAAGTCTTCGTTCTGTCATAGCCTAATGTGATTGAACTTTGAGAACTTTTAGACTGTAAGTTCTATCAGGATAGCATTCAGGCACAATATATTACTTGACAGAGACAAAATGCTGCACTGTACTTTCTGCTCAACTCTTGCTACCATGGGAAATGGCTTCCATGTCCTATAACAGATCATGGTGTGAACTACAACCAAGTAGTAAATGTAACTTGATACAGAAACCACAATTCTTCAGAAATGACTGTTAGGGAGACACCTGGAAACCTACGTGAACAGGGCTTGTTTACATCACTAAAGTATCACTTGATAACTTTTCTATAGAAATAACTAACAGTGACTAATGTTTATGAGGCAGACTTTTTTCCTCACTAAGCAAAATGTAATCCTTTTCAAATTATTTATTGTGCACATGCTCTTCCACTTGAAGTAGTAATGATAATGATATAATATTAACAGTAATAGAACTAATCTGCTGTAGTATTTCTTCTGTGTCAGATACTGTGTTTTGAGAACATTATTTAACCAAATGCCCACAACGACTCTATAATGTAAATTCTCTGTTGTCCCTATTGCTTACAAATGAAGAAATGGAGACTTAGAACGATTAAATAATTTGTCTTAAGACACATAGTTCTGTTGGGCAAGAGATTTAAATTTATGTCTGACTCCAGAGTGTTTTTCAAAATTTCTATATTAACTTGTTTATGCTGAATAATGAAAGTATCATCTAGGATAAATGCTTCTGAATGGGAATCCCTCGGCCACTGGCACCAGAATGACTTGGGACAGTGATGGATGCTCCTCTGCTCCCTCACTGGCAGTGGAAGCAGGAAAATCTAGTTCCCTTCAGTTCTTTAGTTTTTATAAACATAATCTTTTATTTGAATCCTTGACTTAAAGGAATTTATACTGTCTACTTGATTTAGTTTCTGGAAGAGTCTTTTCCTTAGTAAATCGAAAGGAGTGAAGTTTCATTATTACAAGGCATCTGGAAACATTCGTTATGACTGCTGTGGACCCCCTTCCTTGCCCTTGGCAGAGACAGTAACAGACATCGGTACTCTACTCTGTGGGACTGTGGAAACAGGCTAAAAAAGTTGTCTTGTCAGTTCTGAGACGAGGCTCAAAGACACGATTTACTTTTTCTCCTTTTAATCTGTCATTCATTTAACATTTTTGAGAAGCAAATTTAAAGTTCACACACCGGGTAGATGCTGTGGATGGGGTAAGGAAAAGAGATGGGATCATCTCTGCTCACATTGACATTCAGAGCTAAAGAGAAAAGTGATTCTGCAGGGAGTCCCAACCTAGTGTGGGGGTACTGTGGTCAAGGAAAGCTTCCCGTGGAATTTGCATTTAAGCTACAGCTTTAGAAATGACCAGGAATTATCCAGATCAAAAGCTAAGAAAGAAAAGTGAGATCCTACCTCACATCCACTCTGATGGCCATACCTCGAAAAGATTATGACAACAGACATTGACATGATGTAGAGAAACTGAACTTCATAACCACTAGTGGGAACAGACAGTGGAACAGCTACTTTGGAAAACTGTCAGGCAGTTCTCCAAATGGTGAAACATACACTTACCATAGGTTCCAGCAACTCTACTCCTAAATACATACCCAAGGGAAATGATTGCATCTGTTTATGCAAAAGCTGGCACAAGAAGGCTCATGGAACATTGTTCTTAATAGGCAAAAATTGGAAACCACCCAAATGTCCATAAAGTGATGGATATGTGGTATATTCATAGGGTTGACTCTTATTTGCCAATAAAAAGGAATAAAAGTCTAATAGTTGCTACACCATAGATAAATCTTGAAAGCATTTGCCTAAATGAAAGAAGCCAGGTGCAAACAACCGTGCACGGCTTGATTTCATTTATATGAAATATTCAGGACAAACAAATATGGAGTCAAAAATCAGCTTGATGTTACATTATAGCCGGGGATGGAGAACTGGGTATGATGGCAAAGTGGCCCAGGATTTGTCTTGGAGGTCATGACATGGTTCTAGAACTGATTGTAGTGATGGATATATAACCTTCAGCTATGAAAATATGGGCATTATACAACTACACTGTACATTTTAATATTTTAAAAATTTTTTATTATTTTATGTGTATGAGTGTATTGCCTGCATGTATGTAAGTGCACCCATTTCGTGCAATGCCCACGCAGGTCAGAAGAGGGAGTTAAATTCCCTGGAACTAGAGTTATAGAGGGCTGTTAGCTACCATGTGGATGCTGAAAACCAAACTCCTCTGGTCCTCTGCAAGAGTGGCCAGTGCCCTTAACTGCTGAACCATCTTTCCAGTCACCCATTTTACATTTTAAATGGTGGATCACTTGGTAAGTGAATTAAATTTAAAAAAACCTATTAGAAAATACGTAAGGAAGAACATGTATGGAGTTCTTGCATAAGTAGGAGCCCAACACGTAGGGGAAGGCAGCATGTTGGGAAAGCTGGCAGATGGTAGAAGAGGAGTTGGATAGTACAGAAAGAGAAGCAGCCAGGGGCCCCTGAGGGGCCATGAGGGTCACGTTGGTCTTAATTTGAAGATGGAGATTGAAAATATTTTCTTAGGATAAACAACATTTAAAACAGAAACAAAACACCAAACCAGTTCCCTCCTCTAACACACACCACCTGGGCCATGATGTTAGTGCACAGGGGCAGCTGGAAGAGGGGAATAACGAAATTTCCCTTTTTCCCCTGTGCCATCTTCTAACAGCATTTTCTCTATTGCTGAGTCATTGGGTTAAATTAAAGGAATTGTTCATTGTGCTTGTCCGTAGAAAGAAGTAAAAACAAAAATGTAAACTCTATTGTGCTTGTTAATGCCAATGATTGATAGCCGTGTGTTTGTCCCATCAGCTCTCTCACTGGCGTGGAATCAGAAGAAAGGGGAATCGGAAGTGAGTTTCTAAATGAGTGCCTATTCTAAAGAAAGAGGTGAAGGTAATTCATCAAGGAAGGTGTCAGTTCAGAACTGTCAAGGCATAACAATTCATCCCATTGAATGCTGCATATTTCTCCACAGACATACGTGTGTATGCAGGTTCTTTTAAGTAACATGAACATGTGTATACACACATATATACATATATATGCACCTGTGTTTATGTATGTTATTCAGAAAAGGAGTGTTTATTATTGGCATATATTTCACAGCTTCAATAGCTTTATAAGCAAATGTCATTAATTTAGAAGCTGAACAAGGGCCAAGAGCTATTCCCTAGAGATAGTGCACAGCAGCTAGGAATCCACAAGCTGCCGTTTCCACCTCTGATCTTGTGAAGGAGTCAGGAAGCAATTGCTGAGGTTGCAAAAGTCACCAAATCCAATTTGTTGATTTCAAATGTACAATCCCTTCTTGGCTGACCTGATCCCATCAAAGGGTAATTGAATTTTGCTGGGTTTACTGCATTTTGGCTATTAATAAAAGGATTCCATTTTAGAGTAGTTTTTCTCTTTTAAAAAAATATTGCCAGTGCATATGTAGAACTATTTGGAACAGTTCATTATTAATGTGCTCTGGTTAAACTAAAGAAAGCACCACACATGCAAGGGTTTGAGTTCTGTTTGGAGGAACTGGAAGAAAGCTAATGGTAAGTATCTCTTTAAGGGGCTAGAGAAGGGAAAGTTGGTATTGCTTTAATAATAACAGTGTTTGTGGGCTAGGGAGATGCTAGTGGATTAGGCGCTTGCCACGCAAGCACAGGACCAGAACTCAGATCATCAGCACCTATATAAAATATGAGGTGGGTATGGCTGTCCACCTATAATTCCAGTGCTTGGGAGACAGAGCTAGGATCCCTGTAATGAGGGGCTAGTTAGATCAGCCTGTGCAGCAAACTATGGATTCCACTGAGAAATTCTTCCTCAGTGAGTAAGATGAAGAGCAATTCAAGCAGACTCCCAATATCAATCTTGGGCTTCCACATGCGTGCACACACATGTACCCCACATTTGTCCCCCTGACATATGAAAAAACTATATGTACACACATGTAAATAATAATAGCTGTGTAATAACAACTCCTGGCATTTTTCTACATCCAAGCAGTGTGCTTGATTCTAGACCTACTTATGTCTCACTTAGTGCTTAGAAAAGTACTGTTACTATCACTATTGCAAAGATGGGGAAACTGAGCCTTGAAGTGAGCAGTGAGCTAGGCCGAGGTCATATGGTTCATGGAAGACACAGATGAGCCTCAAACACAAGTAGATTGGGAAGACTGCATCCTTCTGCCTGCCTGCTTAAAAGATTACAGCATTCTTAAATTTTCAGCTGAATACTTGTCTTATGATGATCAAGCCAACTGTGCCATCTCATTTAATGGCAAACAGCTCACCTAATGGGGAGAGTTCATGCTGAATA